GGCCTATAAGAAATGAAACATTATCAAACATAGTCTATTAGTATGCCTCCAAGGTAGAAAAGATCATAAAAGCTGGAAAAGACAAATAGAATATAAATAATTTGCATGAAGCCACATTGCTTTTATCTTTGTACATGAGGCCCTCACAATGGAAATGTCCCTCCAGTGCCCTGTCTTGCTCTGCCTGGAAAAGATGGACTCAGCCTTACAGATCACATCAAATGTCATCTTGTCCAAAAATATGCACATGAGTAAACACAGTAATTTCTTCATTTCTATTTGATTCTGTGGCATATATATTCTATAGCACTACATCATATTGTCTCATAATTCTTGATTTAGATTATTCCTTCCAGCTTCTCCAAACACCCAAAAATAGGGTCTCCCCAGTGCCTACCCTAATGCTCGCTATTTAGTAGGTATGCATTAACGATTCACTGAATCAATTGATGCGATTTGTGTCATGACTCATCGATGAAAGGTTATGTTGTAGTCGAGAAAATAAAGCTAAAAATCTAGGGAAAATTGGAGACTATTGTAATTAATATGAATAAAGAAAGAATGGAACTTAAATTTATCATTAAGATTTTTTTTCTTAAATTCAAATAGGTTTTCATATTCTTTTGCTAGGAATACTTTTAATATTCAGCAGAAATTTTGGTCTATGAGTTATTCATTTTCCTTCCTCCTAGTATATCATTACTGTGAAGTGTTCTAGCTGTATTCTTTATCTATCTATATCTATCTATCTATCTATCTATCTATCATCTATCTATCTATTGATCATCTATCATATCTATCAACTATCTACCTATTATCTATCTATCTATCTATCTATCTATCATCTATCTATCTATCTATCTCTATCTATCTCTATCTATCTATCTAATCTATCATCTATCTATCATCTATTTATCTATCTAATAGTAGTATTCTTTTCAAGCTCAATTGAGTTAAAATCTGCCAGATCTTAAAAAAAATTCACCTCAGTTCTAACACTTTATCTTTTGTCTCTACAGCTAGGCTCCTCCTCAAAAAAAAAAAAGAAAAGAAAAAGAAAAAGAAAAAAAGAAAAACAAGAAAAAGAAAGAAAGAAAGGAAATTTCTTAAATTATTTATTTTCTTACTTAACAATGAGTACCTTCTAAACCCTCACTATTAAAAATTACCAATAATCTATTTTTCTTCTTATCGCTAAAACAGTAAATTGTTTTCAGCCTTCTTCTTCTTTGAACTCTCTATAACATTTATTATTGTTTTTAAAATTCATTATTCACTATTGTTGGCTTCCATTTCTTTTGAAGTTATTGTCTCTTGGCTTTCTAGATGCCTCTTTCCTGGTCACTTCTACACTGTCCACCATTCATTCTTAGTAGCTCTTATTGGAATCTCTTGCTCATTCTGCCCCTCAATTTTGCATTCCTAAAATTCTCTCCTTGGCACTCTTTTTTTTGGTCTTTTTATTTTACGTTCTCTTCCTCAGTGATATCACTCATTCTCAGAAAGTTTAATTCCTACCTAAATGCTAACAATTCTCATGCAAATATGTAGCTCAGAATCCTCACTTCCGGTCCACATGCTGTATACACAAGTGTTTGGGAGCAACTCCGACTGCGTGTCCCTTCTTCCACAGGCATCTCAAACTCCACCTGAATTCATTACCCTATTTCCTATTCCTCCTGCAGTTTCTATTTCAGTTATTGGCAGAACCATCTCCGTATTATCAGATGGAACCTAGTTAACATATGCTCTCCCTTTCCTTGTCTTTCCATTTGTCACCAGTCACCAGTTCTTTAAATTCTGCCTCCTTGACATCCTTTATATCTGATTTCTCCTCCTCATTCCCATACTGTTTTGGTTCAGGTTCTCCTAATCCCACGCTTACACAAGTACAAAATCTGGGTGTTAGCACATCCAGTTTCATATTCCTTCAATCCATCTTTCTCATTGTAGCCTAGATGTTTTTCTCAAAGCACAAAACTGATTACATTATTTCCTGTTTAGATGCTTCAGTGACCTCATTTTACCCCCTGAATAGACTCAGAATATTCAGTATGACATAATAGGTCCTCCTTCCTCCTTAACTTTCCGGACTTACCGCTTGTCAAGTTTCCCCTCTCCAGCTCTACACCTCAGCCATAACATATTGCTTATAGTTCTCTGAAACACAAAGTTTCTTAAGACCCCCAATGATTCTCTGATGTGTCTGCCTGTAGTGCCCCCAGCCCCTTAAATTCTCCCATTTCTGCTTCCATATCATGAGGAACATCTTAAAGTCAACCCAACTCAATGGTTACTCCTCTCAAATATTTCTTGATCTTCTTTACCCCTACCAAATAAAAGTAACCAAGCTCTCCATTGTACCATGGTCATGTTTTCATCACGGCATCTTAACACACTAATTACTGCTTTGGGAACTGTATTAGACTTTAAGTTTTCTTATAAACAAGGATAATATCATATTTGGAATTATATCCTCAGTACTTTGTGACAGGCCTGTCGTAACATGACCCCAAGTACAAGTTTGTGGAAGGGCATGACGGTATTGTCTTTCATTTTTACTATCTTTCAAATCGTTTAGCATTTTTTAAACACATTCACAACTTTTACATTTAAAAAATAAAATATAAAAATAAATTAATTAATATATTAATATATCATTTATTTTTATTAATTCTAAAATTTTCTAGTCATAATTATGCCACAATATTATGTTGAACCTTAATCTTCTGCATTGTCAAAAAACTCCCAGAGTGATTTCGTTCTGTTATTTTTATCAGCAAAATTATATCAGATCTATTTTCCTAAGAAATAATTAGAATTCAATAGTTATATTCCTCTAACTACTGCTTTATCACAAGATGAAAACAAGATATTTTACACATAGGATAAGATAACTATTTTCAGATATTTGCCTCGAAGACACTGCTTTGTAACCTCTATTTCTGCTGTTTCAATTTCCACTTCTTAACAAAAAAGGTTGCCAGATGCTTTAGTTAGTGTTTTATCCCACTCCACCTCCCTCTCCACCCTCCAACTTCAACAGAACTTATTTGTACACCCTGTTCCAGATTATGCTGATCACTAATCCTTGTGAGAGTTTCTGGCTGTGAAATGGTGAAAAATGAAGTTTTGGAAGCCACTTAAAGCCACAGCCCTAAGCACTGACTCTTCACGGGATTTATTAGAAAAAAATATATCTTATCCTATTACACATGTGTAATGGCTACAGAAACCAATACCCCAAAGTTGTCACTTTGTTTCACATCAAGGAGGCTGAAAATCTCCAGTATTCCCTCACAGTTTATTAGGTAATTTAGAAAAAAAAAAAAAAAAGCCACTTCAGTGAGTTTCAGTCTCGTTTAATAAATAGAAAGTGAATGGAAACGTTTAGTAGGGGAAAGGAAGAAAGCCTAAAAGTTATTTGATAAAGAGAAATGGAAGAGAACAGGGAAAAAGACGTGTGTCCAGATTCACAGAAGTAAAGAGAACCTAGATTTGGTCAAAGAGAAAGAACACATTAAGATCCAGGCACTGAGTAAATCTCTGATGCACACCAACACAAAAATGTTAAACAGAACACTTTAGGGATTCTCAAGGAATGGAATCCTGAAAGAAACTTAGGTTTTTGGTGTGTCTAATGTACCAAGGACTTTACAGAGCTGATCAATCTCAGTATTCATAGTCCCTTATTTATAAGAGGTTTTGTTACTTCAATTTAACATTAGTTTAAGTTAATATGAATCACTATGTATAAAGTGCTTTTAAAAATATCAGGCACTGGTCTATGGCCATGTCACCCTGAACACGCCCGATCCCATCTGATCTCGAAAGCTAAGCAGGGTTGAGCCTGATTAGTACTTGGATGGGAGACCACCTAGGAAGACCAGGTGCTGTAGGCATTTAAAAAAAAAAATGCCAGGCACATAATAATCACTATACACATGTTTATTTTCATTAGAATTTTATAAATGAAGAAACGGAGGCCCCAGGATATTTAAGTAATTTATCCAATATCACACAGTTAGTAAGTGCATACCTGGTCTTGTCTGTATTACAGTGTAAGACCATTTCACTAGAACTCAAGTCACGTTTTTGCTTTAGATTGGCTGAGTTGCCCAGGTAATAAGATTCTTTTTTATGTACGTAAATTCTCTCTTCTATAGACTAAAAAAATATATATATGTATATATTTTTTTGATTACTATGTCACAGGGTGAATTATTGGAAATAAAGCATAAGATGGAAGCTAAATGTAACTGAAATGAAATATTTTCATAATTTAATTCAATCATCTCAATAATAGTCTAGGAGTCAATAGAACAAAAGGGAAGGAGATGGGATGTAATTGCACCAGAGACTACCAATTAGATAATCGAATCACAGAATTTCAGGGTTAAGGGGACCTTAGAAAGCATTTGCTTTAATGCCCCCTCATTTCACAGATGATGAAACCAAGCTGCTGATGTTGACATGACTCACCCAAAGCCTCACAACTTCAAGCTGCAGAATATTATAACAGAATGCGAGTTGACGTATCTGCTTGGAATCTTCTTTCTAAAGCCATGAGTTCAAAACTAACAAAAAGGCAGCCTTTACAAATCTAAATTCTCAGATCAGGTCACAGATGGTAAATAAAACATCATTAGTTCTGGCCTTCATGGGATGGCGGGAAGGGAAAGGGATACGTTTTTAATTGTACATACAATCTCACCTTTATATGCTATACTATTCGATAAAAGCCCTACACCTTCAAATGCAAAGCACTCTGCCAGCAATAGAATCTTATAAAAACAAACATCTGTGTACATACTGAGTTTAATTTTTTAGTTGTTCTTATAGGTAACATGCAAGTGGTAGAAAGTGAACAATTACACATTATAGTAAATCGTGAAAACATTTTTCTGTCCTTCTTCTATTTTGTACATTCGTAGGAGAGAGTAGCCCATCTCGTGCATTTATCAAGAATCTGGCTAATTGGACTCTGGGAGACAGAGTACCTGTGTGCCCAGGCTCTGGCTGCTGGGTTGTAGTAGAGGCTCGAGAATGCAGGCTCATGGTGGTGTCCCCATCAGAATCCAGCATGTTCCTCGTGCTGCTGTACTTGGCCTGCATCAGGATTCCTGCAGGGGTGAGGATGTGCTGTGGTTAGATTGCCCCAAGCTGCCTGGCTACTGTGAGACAGTTCAGAATCCCATGCACTGAAAGGCATTCCTAATGGTCTTCTCTCCCAGCAAGTAACAGGGAAACCTCTGACTCCAGTTCCTGCCTGGAAAGACCCAGCCCTTCTCCTGTAAACTTGTACTCTGAATGCCAAATTGGTCAGGCAAAGGGGAAATAGCATGTGTTTTCTATTTGGGCGGTCTTGGTCTGAACAATTACTGAAGGGATTGTGCTTCTCAGATCTCTTTTGTTCATCTGTTTGTATTTCCTGTTTAAGTGGGGAAAGAAGGCAAAACTTTACAATTGCACCAAGGTTTCTTCAGCCTCTGCAAAACAATAATCAGTCAGAGGGATATATGTGTGTGTGTGTTTGTGTGTGTGTGTGCGTAAACACATATATATATACAATATGTGTATATATATATATGTGTATATATATAAAACCTAGTTTCTTACCCATTATACACTCACTCAGTCACTTAGATTAAATTTAACCTCTCTCTGCCTTTGTGGTAATTTCTGTGATAGTTAATTTTATGTGTCAACTTGTCTGAGCCATGGGGTAGCCCAAATATTTGGTCACACATGAATGTTTTGGTCACACTTCTGAATGTTTCTCTGAGGGTATTTTTGGATGAGATTAATATTTAACATAAAAGCAGATATCTCTTCATAAAACGAATGGGTCTCTTCCAGTCACTTGAAAGCCTGAATAAGACAAAAAAAACCTGACCTTTCTCCAGATAAGAAAATAATTCTTCAGCAGACAACCATTAATTTCATTTTATGAAAAAGTATATTGAAGCCCAACTAGATGAAGAAACTGCTCTAAAGTCACAGAATTAGCTTTAAAACTGCTTTCTGGTTATCAATTCAATGACCTTTCTTCTTACAATATATGGACTTGATTTAACATTTTATAGCACATTTGGTACATCATGATCACAAACAATTACACATTTTACTGGATGTAAAGACAGAATTATTACTACCTGTGACTTTAGGAAGCCAGGTAACAATCTGTGTCTAAATTTCTTAAACTGAGAACCAAATGAGAAGATTGTTTTTAGATAATGTTTAAAAATTATTCTCAAATCAATACAATAGGATTATGTTATTCTACCAATACTTTTCTATATTTTGAGCTTGGCTCAAATCAAGCACACTAAATATAAAGGAGTAGAGATGATGTTTGGGTTAGGACATCCAGGCCCTATGACAAATGGGTTAAGAAATATACATGTGGATTCATAATGAGTCTCAAGCTGTGTATTGCTCATCAGTTTATTCTAAATAAGACAAACCTAAAGAGACTTTTCTCTTGCATAATGCCTTATTGAAAGTAGGTAATCAAAAGTAATTTGATCATTTGCATTGAATTCATGTATTAGAAAATGTTATGGAAAAAAAGGCAGGAAAAAATTTGAAGATAAGTGAAGCACATATAAGAATGAAGCAGGAAGAAGGAATATTAGAAATCTCAATAGCTGGGGCCGGAAAAAATACATTTAAGAGGTGCTGATAATTATGATTCTAATGAAACAGCAAGTAGAATTATTTTCCAAACTTCAGTGATTCATGTAGATCCTTGATAATTTGCCAAACAATCTACATTAACGTTTTACTACTTACTTGTCCTTAAATACTTATTTTTTTTAACAATGAAAAAAACTTTTTTGAACACCTATTTTATTGCAGGTACCATTCAAGGATACATCAGTATAAAACAAAACCCTCTGTCCATTTAGAGTCTACATTCTATGGAGGAAAGCAAATAATATACAAAAAAATAAGTAAATAAATAAATAGTAGAGTTTATTAGACTATGATAAGAGTAATGAAGATATATAGAGGGTAAGGGACATTAAGAATATATGGGAAGAAGGGCTGCTGATTTTAAATAAGGTAGAATCAGCCTCATTAAGAAAGTGATATTTCTGCAGAGACTTGGAAGAGGTGAAAGAGCAGGTCTCACAGATTTCTGGGATAAGAATTGTTCAAGTAAAAAGAACAGGAAGCTCAAAAGCCCACATGGGGAAGAATGCCAGGTATAGCTGAGAAGTCACAGAGAAACCAGTGTCCTAAACGGAATGAGTGAAGAGGAGAAAAGTAGATTAGCTCAAAGGAGTAAAGTGGGCCACAGTTAATTGTCTTATAGACAATTATAAAAGTCTTTTCCTTTTTGTTTTGATTTTTTTTTTTTAACTCTAAGATATACGAGAAGTTGAGAATGTTTCAGTAGAGGGCCGACATGTTTGGTTTTAAGTTTTTTTAAAATTTTATTTTATGAATTTCAAATATACAGTATCGGTTAGACATTTATTTAGTTTATAAAACGATCCCCCTAATTGCTCTTTCTCTCCTCTGGCTCTATAGAATCACTCGCTATGTTTGAAAATGGACTATAGAAGGACAAAGGTGGATGCTGGGAGACTACTTTAAAGATTATTGTGAGAGCTCAGGCAAGAGCAGATGGTAGCCCTTGAATAAGAAATTGTTTCCTCATTACTCATCTTGAATTTATCCTTTGGGCATAAGTTCAGCTAGCGGCTATTTTCTCTTTTCTGTCTCTTGGAAAAGTGTGGACATTTTCTGTTCATTGTCATGTATATTTCCATGTAAGCTGTGGTATAAATAAATAGGTATTAACAAGTCAAGTTTAGTGTGCCTTAGACAACCTAGAGCAATCTTCTTTTACACCATCACTTTTGTCATATTCATGCTTTTATCTTTAAGTCATAGGTTATTGTTGCTTAGCCTATCTGTTCTAGGTAAGTACAGCTGGACATTCAGTATCCAGAATTATTTTCCTTCAGTATCATGATTCTTCCAACTCAACCAATTCATTTCGGGGACCCAGGAGGAACCAATCAAACCCAAAACAAAATTAAAGTACATGGCATCTCTTCAAAATTCCACCTTACATCTTAATTTAATTCTAAACTTGAATTATCTTTCCCTTTTCCTCATTTCTTTTTAGATAGTGACAATAGAGGTTTGTATATTTAAAAATAATAGTAAATTCACTAAAAATCTCTGTCTTCTTCTTTTAGACTTTTATATTTTTAAGATCCCAAATTTATTCTTTAACACAAAATTATCTACTACACTAGCTCTCCTCCAGTGCCAAATTAATCATTTTTAGAGAGAGGGAAAATTGTGGTAGTGTTTATTACACACGGCACAAAATTTGGAGGCCAAAGTTTGTTTGATTAACTTTTTTTTTTAATTAAAGTGAAATTCGCATAACACAAAATTAAGCATTTTAAAGTTAAAAAAATCCGACACAGTTTCTCATCACATTAATAAATGTGGGAAGACAGTAAAATGCCTCTACAATAACATGGAAATCCCCACTGGAAATAAAAATAGCACTAGTGGGAAAGTTTAAAAGAAAATAAGAAAGACACAAATCATTATATGAGGAAACATAGTCATGTTCCAATAATACCTTTTACAGCAATAACTGAAGAATTACTGAAAACTGCAAAATGGTAATCATAAAAAAATAATAAAACATGTTTTGCATTCCAAAATGTTAATATCTCTGTCAATAGAATTGGTTACATTTTAATATTTATTATCAGATCTTTTTTTGATTGATAGTATTTAAACAGAAGAAGTTTTCTTAAAACAGCAACGACAGTATTGCTGGTATAAATGCATTGCATTTGAAGAGGTCCCCCTTTAAGGAGCCGACATATTCTGGGCTATTTCATTGTAAAAAAAAAAAAAAAAAAAAAGGATGCAGTTGCTGTTTTTCTCATGATGTTTTTGATAATAATCATGACCATACTGATGAAAAAAATAATAAAATAGCTCTGATTATAATGAAGATACGTATTTTTAATTTCTTCCTTTAACTCTTCAGAAATATATAGTGCCTTCCACCTGTGTTTGATGCACTGATACAAGTAACAAATCATGGAAACACACCATGTGTCCTCCAGGGGCACTTTTTAAGGACAAGAAAATGACTCTGATAAAGCCAGAAATTAAAATCTCCTTGAAACACCAAGTATTTGTAGCTAAGTCTAGGTAAATACCAAGTCGATGGTAGAATAAAAATTCAAGTCCAACTGCCCTGATTCCCTTTCTAGGCCTGTTAATTAGAATATAATACTAGCTTAAAAATAGAGTTACATACAGAAATCAGTCTTTTCATTCTGTTTCTCAGCTTAGATTAATGTTGGCTAGGCTCTCTTAAAATTTCGGCATTTAATTTGAACTCAAATATCTCTCTTTTCTGTTTTGTTTTCTCCCCTCCTTAATATTTTGTGTACTTCTCTCTGTATCTTCATGCCAATACATGGTTATATCTAGAGCTGCTTCTCACAAATACTGTATGAGGGCACACTACAAAGTTGGTCATAAATTATTGACATGTGAATCCAAACACAATTGTGAGATGAGTTCTCCTGGGAAACTGTGCTTCTGATTTGAAACCTGTTAAAATAAAATACAATAAGGTAATTGGAATAAACATAATGAATACTGTCTACTATTTTACACAATATTAAGTAAATTGATGAGGGTATCAGTGAAACGAGTTTCTGAACTGTCTGTATTATTGGAAAAAGAAGCTTGAATTTAGATTGTATTCGTTCTCAAATGTTAACAGAATAGCCTTCATTATTAAGGCATAAAAATGACTCAGTTCTTGTTTTTGTTTTTTTAAGAAATACTATAGTTGCAAAATAAAGCTTCTGACAAGAAAGAAAACAATTAATATTCTATAGACAGTTCGTTACTTATCTCTCAACCTCTTACCTAGAAATATATTTATCAAATAAAACAACAGTTTAGTGAAACTATTATTGGGTATATTTAGTATGTAGAGCAAGTAGAAGAGTTATTCCTGAAAAGGATCTAGAACTAAAGGAAGAATCTTAGCTATCAAGGCCATTTAAAGGCAGGGCATACAATCCTATATATTTTGATGCACTCTGAAGGCAGAATTATATTAGAATACAATGAAAAGCCATTCTGTAAACTTCAAATTAATTCTACAAACATTTAATATATAATGTTAAGCACATTATCAAAAATAATCAGACATATAAAAAAACAAATCAACATGAATGAAAAATAGGAGAAAAATATAGTAGAAACAAATGCACAGCAGTATAAGACATTGGAATTATCAGAGATAAATGTTAAAACAGTTATATTCGGTGTATTCTATGAATAAAAAGAGAATATTGAGAAAGTTAGATGCTAGGAATTACAAATAGTAATGGGGTAGATTTAGAAAAACTAAGTTGAAATTATAGAACTGAAAAATTTACTGAACAACATTTAAAACTTGATGGATACTTTTAACATTAGAATAGCAACAATGAGAAAAAAATTTAATGAACTGAAAAATATGTCAAAAGTGAATAGACTGAAGAAAAAAGGATGAAAAATACAGGAAAAAGCAAACAAGACATATAAAATATTGTGAATAGGTCTATAATGCATGTAACTGAGATTCCAGAAGGGAAGACAGGGAGGAAGCAACATTGGAAGCAAGTATGGCTGAGACTTTTCCAAAGCTGAAAAGAGACATAGATTTAAAACATTTATTATCTTCAAACAGCTGACTTTTTAAAAACAATGATAAAATTAGAACACATTATAAGAATATATTTGAATAATTGAGAGAGAAAAAGCTAAAAATGTTTCATTTTATACTCAAAGAAATATTTTTTTAGAAAAGTTGGAATAAAACAATTTTAGACAAACAAAATTCAACATGAAAATTTTAACTCTAAAGGAAATACTGAAGAGTATTCTTCAAGTTTAAGGAAAATTACTCAAAATAGAATGTAGGAGGGGTAGAAAGGACTAAGAAGCAATGAAAACCATAAATATGTGGGAAAATCTGGATGAACTGACTGCATAAATTTATACATCTACTGTTTTCTACGGTTATATTTTTACTGAATCCAAGATACCATCAATAGTTGATGTACCATTTATTTAATCTAATACTGTGAAATAAATTCATCCAGGATAAGAACTTAATAGAAAACCCTGCAGAAATTAGAAAACCAAGGATTATTTTGATGGAGTCAATGAAAAATAAAACTGCAAAACAGAAAAGAATAACAATGAAAAGTGCATGTCTCAATCTTGCCACCAGGTGGAAGGTGGGAGGAAAAAAAATATATCGTCTGAGAAATTGAATCACAGGCTGATACTCATAGAGTTCTTTTTTCTGAATCCATAATACCAGTGTGTTTGAAAGAAGGAAGAAAAGAAGGAGGGAAGGAAGGAAGGGAGGAAGAAAGGGAGGGAAGGGGCGGGAGGGAAAGAAAGAGAGGAGTGTTTAATTTAAGTACTTTTGAGTTTGTGGTGCCTCTTTTTGACTGGCAGAAACAAATGCTAATCAATCTTGACATAATTCAACTTCACACCAGGCTTATATAATTATAAAATGCCAGCAGTTGTAAGACACATGCCAATTTGAGAGATACTAAAATGTAGAAAAATATGTGTCAGCATTAAGTTACACAAAAATAATAGAATGTAAATTGGGAAAAGAGTACACAGAGTAAAGGAATAGTCTAATTTTTATATTTCCCAGAAAAAAAAAAAAACATAAAAAGGCCAACTAGTATTAGATTTTGATAAGTGAAGAATACGTGTAATCTCTAGAGTAATTACTACAATATTAGTAAAAGAGTAAATTTAAGTAAATATAAGAAAAGATGGACTAATATAAAGTATTAAATCAGTTAAAAAAGAAAAAGTATATTGAATAGACCGTATACTTGTAAGATATAACAATTCTAAGCCTATCTGCATCTAATAATGTGGCTCCAACACATCAGCTATAATGTCTGCAGAATTCTAAGTAGAACCACAGTGGAAGATTTTAATATAATTCTCTTAGTATGGGAAGAAGTAGATAAAAATAAGAGAACTTCAATCACACTGAGTACATTCTCTGACCACAGTGGAATTAAGCTGAAACTTAAAACAAAAGGTTAACTATAAGTGCAAAGATATTTATAAATTAAGAAATACATTTTGAAGTAATTCATTACTCAAAGAACAACTAATGATGGAAAATAAAAAGTATTTTGAACTTAATGACAATGGAAATACATTAAAATTATAGCCTTAAATATACATATTTTAGAAAAAGAAAGGGTGAATTGCAGAAGTCAAGCAACTATAAAAAATGTTAGAGAAAAAATAGAAAATTCAACCCAAAAAATTGGATGAAAGGAAGTAATAAAGATGAGAACTAAAATTACTGAAAGAAAAATGTAAAAGACACAAAAAGAGAAAATCAATAAAACCAAAACTTTAAAAAGATTAATAAAATTGGAAAACACACCACTGAGATTGATGAGAAAAAGAAAAAGAAACAGGCACACACACAAACACACACACAGTCCAATAATAGAACATTAAAAGGAGAATGTAATTTCACTTCCTGCAGATATGAAAAAGAAAATGAATGACAATTGCAATGAGGAAGATGTCAATGCTTTGTAATGGTTAATTTTATGTATCAACTTGACTGGCCACACTCACATTAAACATTGCTTCTGAGAGTGTCTGTGAGGGTGTTTCTGGATAAAATTAGTATTGGAATCAGTGAACTCAGTAGAGTAGATTGTCCTCCCCAATGTGGGTGGGCGTCATCCTATCTGTTGAGTGCCTAAACAGAACAAAAAGGGGGAGGAAGGAAGAAGCCTTCTCATTTTCTCTGTTTTGCTGTGTGAGCTGAGACATCTTATCCTGCCCTGCCACTAGGGCTTATCCTACCAACTCCTCTGGTTCTCAGCTCTGCACACTTGGACTGAATTATACCACAGGTTTTCCTGGTCCCCAGCTTACAGAGGACAGATCATGGGACTTCTCAGTCTCCATAATCATGTGAGCTAATTCCTCATAATAAATATCCATATAAAAATACTTCCTCATTTTATATGTATGAGTCAGAGTTCTTCCGAGAAACAGAACCAATAAGAGATTTACATAGATCTTCTCTTGATATCCCTAATTAATACATACACAATGAGGAAGAATTCATAATCATGCAAATGTGAAAGATGTTTAAAAGAACTTTATGAAATGTGAAATGTAGTTGCTTTTAAAATCAATGATAATACCTTATATTACACATTTACCATGTGTAAGACACTAGCTAAGTGATTTTACTATTATTTCCTTTATCTCAAAATCCTGAGAGGTAGCTACTATTTTTATTCTTATTTACAGATGAGGAAAGAGGGGCTCAAAAAGGTTAAGCAACTTATCTAATTTCACACGCAAGTGGGCCATTCATGGACTCAAGCTGAGACTTGACTCCAGAGCCCATGCTCTTAACCACAGTTTTACACTGACCAATAGTGACTACCCCTTACTGGGAACTTCAAACAGGTACCAGATGCTCTTCTGATGAGAAAGTTGAGGGAACACTTGTGTTGATAGCACTAGATCGCCATGTGGTTCTTTTTACTATAAAGTCCTCTGCTACTCTCTTCTTTTCTTTTTTCCTGGCTCATTTTTTTCTTTCTCCCCATCGCTATTCATTATTCTCTCTGTCTTTCTTATATATGATCAACAAATCACATTCTCAACTGCTTGACATGCTCTGACCTTTCTGAGAAAGGATATGAGCCTTTGTCTCTCCAGATACTTACAAGTTAGAAGAAAACATTGAACCATCTTCCCAGAGCCACGGTCCCTCAGTCTGATGGCGAGAGAGACCTATCCAAAATGAATTATCAGGTTGGGAAGACACTTGCTTTCTTACAAATTCCTGTAGG